CTACACCCTGTATCTCCGAAACTAAGCATTTTAGGACATACATTTATACGAAATTTTTTGCCTTATTTTATCTGCAGAATATGCTGCCAAAGTTTCCGGAATACAGTTCGGACCAGCCTGTATATTTGTAGGTCCAATTTACAATATAATATATAGTCTATAAAATGAATAACTTTGAATTTTGACCGTTATTTTTTACCAACATGGCAAATATGAAATCCCTCTATCAAAAAAGTTACTGATATTCATTAAATTGAGTGCCTGGACTTTGGCCTGGACGAATCAGATAGGTAACTCTTTTTACTTTCGTGAAATAGAAAAGGAAAATAATAAAACAAGTGACAATTTTTCCTCTCCGTGCAAAAATCAGCACGAAATGACATAATTGTCAAAAGTAAAATGTCATTAGCTTTTGACATTTCTAAATATCAGACCAATGGCGTCTATAATAGAACAGCCTCGGAGCGAGATTTATGACGTCACGCTAGTTAGATACTACGGATTAATAAATATGTTGTAGAATACATGGAAAACATAATTATTCCTCGTATTTTTGGTTTGTATTTTAAAAATGATATAGTTACATGAAATATACATAATACACAGTTAATAAATACAATATATATACCTATTTATAGTAATAAATAACTTTGGCAAATAAACTATGAACCATACAAATGCAGCAAATGTTTTACGATATACAAATAATGAATAGATACATAAGATAATGGGTAAAATGTAAAATATACTTTAAATTTGGGGGTTTGAAAATCGATCTAATTTAACAAAAAACATTCAATATCTACTAATAGTGCTGTATTAATTTACATTCACAAAATTTTTATGCATATTTTGCAAGTATCAATGTTCGAAAAATTATATTTGCAAACAATACAATATCATAGAAAAAAAGGCGTCAGCGATGGCTATGAAATAAAAATCGCTGTCATTTTATATGTAAAACTGTTCTAAAATTTTTGATTTTCTTGGGATTTAGGTTCGGGAAAAACGCTGATTAAGTTTTCATTTGGTTTTTCATTTTTTGTTTAAAAAAAACGTTTCGGCTAACATTATAGCCTTCATCAGTGTTGTGTCATATGAAAAAAATAGTGTCGAATATAATCCAAAAATCCTTATAATATAATATAAGGATGCCGAAATTGGACTTAATGGATTTTTCATGTTAAAGACCGTGAAAAACTGGACATAGTGGTGTGTTTAATCCAATTCAACCAAAAATGTGACTTAGTGGATTTTCGCTGTACGCCTACGATATATATTTATTTATTCTAACTAGCGTGACGTCATAAATCTCGTTCCGAGGCTGTTCTATTAGTGACGACATTGCGTCAGCATGGCAGCAAGTTGCTAACCTAATAAAATTAACACTAGAAAAGCCCGCGGGAACTGTCAAATTCAAAGTTATTCGTTTCACAGACTATACCTACTATCCGAATCCCCAGCTGGAAATTAAATTCCATTTAGTCAGCCCGGCGCCGTATATGTCCATGGTTGGCAACAATGAATTTAAAAAACGCGCACTCGATTGTGTAACTAAAAGTTTAATTGGTACCGCTTATATCTAAAAATCTCGAATCATTTAACTACAATACTCTGTGTCAAATACGTGAATAACCCTGTAGATTTTCTAATTTTGGACGTACAAAAAATAATTTTTCTTGAGTATCGATACACTCGGGCTTTTTAAATAAAAAAAAACAGTTATCTAGACATTTTAGTAAGTAACAAAAGTAGTCCTGTTTAAAATTCATTTTAACGCACAGATCCCGAATAAAATAGGGGTTAAAAATTAATGGCACGTCGCAGTTAGAAAAACTTTAAAAGCTTTCCAAAACAAAGTTTTTCTCTTTTGTTTCAGCATCATCGATAGCAAAAATATTTTTATTTTTGCTTATTTTTTAAGCTTTATTCTACGCTTTAAAATTAAATCTTAAATAACCTAAAAACGATTTATTTTAATTATAGGAACATGTATAACCAAAAAGTAACGAATTGAAAAACCGTTTCACTGACGGAATAAAAAAATCTGGTTTTCAATTCGAAAAAATGGTTTCTGATAATTTTTTAATCGCTCAATTCCATGACAGCTACAACTAATATTATATGACATTTGAACAATTTCATTTTTGAAATAGATGGCCAAATGTCTTCTCTTTATGTCACAGTCGCTGTGGTAATCACTAAATTTGGCGTTTTTGGCAGGAGTCCAGCCAGGAATCCAGTTTTTGGCAGGCGTTTTTGGCAGGAAGTTTTTGGTTTGGAATCCTCGGACAATGGAATCTGCCAGAAACTTTTACGCAAATCTATACTAGAAATATACGTAGCTCCACGAAGAGAGTTTAAAATTGTATCTATATTTGGCATAGGGTAAGAGTCATACTTTGTAACCTGATTTAAAGATCGACCATCAAAACAAAAACGAAATTCACCAGTTGGTTTTTTAACTAAAAGCACTGGAGAACACCAAGGACTATTAGAAGGTTCCACGACACTAAGTTTAAGCATATCATTTAATTCCTCATTCAAGATTTTTGACATATAAGGGGACATTAAAAAAGGTTTTTGACGAAATGGTTTGGCATCACCAGTGTCAATCCACATAGTAATTTTATCTGTACGACCAAGACCATGGTCACTATTGATACTGTCAAAAGAGTTAATAAGAAGTTCAGCTTGTTTTCTCTGATTTGGTGTTAGATCATCAAGGGTACACAACGTATTTACTGCACGGGTGTTATAAGGAAATGAAGAAAACTTAGGCTGAGATCTAGAATTGACTTCCCACCAATTTTTCTTAAGATCTTCCATAAGATCAAACCGCAAGATAAAATCACAACCAAAAATAAAACTATGAGGCAATGAAGGTACTACAATAGCACTGATAACTTGACATGAACCATCAACGACTAAAGGTAGATCGATTACACCAACTATTTTCTTTTCGATATTGTCTGCAGTACTAATTGATAAAAGAGTTGGTTCCCTAATAACCAAATTGAGATTCTCAATAACAGGAATACCAGCAGCTCCAATAACTGTAGATGTACTTCCAAAATCTAAAAGACCACAAATTTCAACGCCTAGAATTTCTACTAAAATATAAGGTCTGTTATCAGAAACCTTTGGACAAAAAAGAGGAGAAACTTTATGATTGGTAGTGGTGGATCTATAAAAATTCTTAACACATAATAACCACTTCTTCCAATCAGATTCTGAAAATAAATTTCTGGGTTTGAATTTTTTTTGAACTACATGACCAGAAACACGAGTTCGTCCGATTAGTTTTTTTGAACATTTTGGACACGCCGGTGATTTAACCCCTAAATTACCACATTTAAAACAAAAAACCTTACGTTTCTGTCGACAATCATGAAATGTATGATTTGGACCAGAACAATTCCAACAAACTAAACACGAGGTTGCTTCCTTACCTGAATTTTCTACAGATCTGGGCATACTCGAAGAAGTATTTACCATATTAGGGTCAGAAGACGACGACGCTGCAGCAGAACAAGGAGACCTAACAGTAGTATTTTTATTTTTGTTTTGAGCATTGACATTTTTAGACTTTTTACAAAACTGTACTCGATGAGAATCAGACGAGCTAGAATCAAGAGTGGTATTCAATTGAGAAACATTTAAACTTCTAGATCGTTTTTCATTCTGATGTTTAGCATTTTCTAATTTTCTACACAAATTAGACAGTTCAGACACAGATAAAACATCAACTAAAGCTAACTGAGTAATGTATTCAGGAAGTAAATTTTGTCTAATATTTTTAATCTTATTAACCTCACTAGGGCATTTACTTAATCTACTAAAACACATACTACACATCTACTAAAACACATACTACAATCTACTATACACATTTTTTTGTCAGGCAGTTTTTCCCTCCAAAAATTTTAAATATTTTTTTTCTCAAACACGGTAAATGTTAGGTATAAAGTGTTTGGCATCAAAATTCATAAAATTTTACGTAGAATTTAAGTACGTATGCAATAAAAAATGGGGATACTCATTTAAAATAAGAAAGTTGGTGTCAACTTTTGATATTCCCGGAAGTGCTGCCATATTGAAAATATTTTTAATCAGTAATCAAAAATATCCGATCTAGATGTTAATGTAATTCTCTAAAAACTTCTAATGCACGTTCAGCCTGGTTTGCTGTGTTTATGGCTCCACTACAGCAAGCTGTACCTTGCTACTCTCAAGGCGTGTAAACGCTCTATAGGCTTGATGTATTCTCTGCTGGTGCTGCCACTATTGGAGAATATCGTAAACAGTTAGTATATACAAATACGTGGGTTTAAATACCGAGTATACGAAAAATTTATTTTAATTATTCTAAAAGGGTTAGGAAGTATAATTTGTGAAAATTAAAAAAAAATATTTTGATATCTTCAGAAGGTCTAACTTGTATTATAATTTATTATTCCAGCTAAAAAAACTTTTTAGATGAGCTCAATTACGGCAGCGAGCATAGTTTTAATCACCGGTTTTGCTAGTGGGGTCATATTTGGGGCTATTTCGGCTATAACGATATTTTTTAAAGGTACATAATTATAATTTTAAAGATGTTCATAAAACATTTAATCTATAAATATATATAATCTAATATAAATACCATTAATATTGCAAATTCTATTTTATCCTCTCATAGTATGTGTCTATTTAATTTTTTGAGTACCTTGTTTACTCACTTGTTTCGTCGAATTGCTTGCATCCGTTTTTGCTTTTGATCAAATCGGTGTGAGAAACTATGAAGCTATAAAATGGTTGTTTAGGGAGAGTTATAATATGTAATATCCGGGAAAGTTGAGTTATTGAATGTTATTGCACCCAACAACGCCCTAATTACGCTCTCCTTTACGCGTTAACATTTTTTTGGCAATTTGATGAGTTGAAATCAACTGAAATGCACCAACCCTATACGAGAGACTACTATTATTATGTTTAAAGTTTTTATTTTTTTACAGTGTTATGAAATTTTGAAACATGCAATGACGTCACTAAAGGGCCAACCTCAACCGAGTGGATACCCATTTCAAGCTGCGCAGACGTATGTATTAAACCCAAAATCCATCACCATGGGACAGTTATATGGGGAATTTGATTTGCAGACCCACGAATGGTAAAATGAAAATAATCAAATTATTTAGCGAGAGCAATTTTTTTATTTTAATCTAGGACAGATGGTATCTTGCCGTGCCTTGTTCGCGTAGGTATTAATGCCCCGAACAAAGACAAAAGATGGTACGTCTTTGACGGTCCAGTGGACGCGGTTTGGATAGAAAACATGAACACGGTCCTGGACGACAATAAAAAACTATGCTTGAGTTCGGGAGAAATTATAAAATTGAGGGACACGATGACTATGATGTTTGAAGTTGCCGATTTGGCTGTAGCTTCACCGGCAACCGTTTCAAGGTATGTATGCTAATAAATTAAAGTGTATTGAGTTCATTTTTTAGGATTCCGTACCCAAAGGGTAAGAACGGGAATCCTATTACTAAGACTTCGCTGTCCGTCCGTCCGTCCATCTGTCACAAAGCTCTATCTTATGAACCGTTATAGCTAAACAGTTGAAATTTTTACAGATAATGTATCTATGTTGCCGCTATAAGAACAAATACTAAAAACAGATTTAAATGAATGTTTATAAATAAAAAAGTAGTTTCACCAAACATTATCTTTTAAGTAAGAATTTTACATAGAATCTTTCAAGTCCTCGGTGGCCGCGTGGTTTAAAGCGTTAGGACAATACGCTGCTATGACGTTGGAGCCGTAGTAAGGCAATTTTAAGTAACGTGTTTCTTCATTTTTTTTAAATTACTTATACGCGCATTCAAAATTTGAGCTAAATCGGAAAAAAAGTTTATAATAATATAGTGTCTAATGTTGTATAGATAATGAATGGTACGGAACACTCCGTGCGCGAGTCCGACTCGCACTTGATCAATTTTTTATTAATAACCTTCAATTACTACTTCTTTCTATTATGGTTTAGATGTGGAATGGTGTATCTCGAACCTGGTGTGCTTGGGTTGGATCCTTTTATAAACTGCTGGATGAAGAGACTACCACCGGTAGTAGAACTATTGTTTGTTTAGCTATCGTTCAACGACACGTCATATATTCTCGGACTCTCTCAATCACTTGATAACCAGAGGGCCCGGATTCTGTAACTTTGACATAAAAACGTTACGCTTTCAAAGCGGTGAGCGAAAGTATGCGATAAGCGGAACGTCAAGCAGTCGATTTTGGTATTCTCCTTGCTGTGCGAATCGTTTTCTGGATACGCGTTGAGCACATATTGACAGCATCGTAATTTTCCAGGTGTCTAATAGTCAAATGTGATTAAAACAATGAAAAATATCAATGTTACGTGAATTTTATAACCTATTGTTGAGTTATGTCAACCTATTTTTCTATGGATATGTCATTATTCTTATTATACGAGGGAAATGTTGAAGACGCTTCTCAGCATTTTCGATGTTTTGAACAATATTTATAGCTACCAACTTGTAATTTGTCGATTACTTATTTAGGAATTTATAGAACAAGTAGTAGTTTTCACTAAAGAGCAAGATAACGCATGAAATCACAATTTTTTCGATTTTCACTGACAGCATACTGACAGTTCGACAAGCAAAACGATCCTTTAAGGCAACCGTTTTCAAAGCGCTTAGCGCATTCAGTAGAGACGCTAAGCGCGTCAGACGAGAATACCCAAATCGTTAGTTAAGTGCGCGCTCAGCAAAAATTAACGTCATATACGCTGAGCGTCTAAAAGCGCTTAGCGTTTTCTAAGTTACAGAATTCGGGCCCAGATGAAACAGATTGGTGACGTCATTACGGCATTTTGTACAATACTGCACACTGTTTTTAATAATTGTCATTGTCATTCGAGTTATAATTTTATTGGCGGACAACGATTAATGTCAAAATTAAAACTTGATTGGCAGTCAAACAATTTTTAATTTTGACTTTTGGATGTTTAATTTGAAATTCAATTTTTTTATTAATGGAAAGACTATCAAAATGATAAATGCCTAACCATAGACTTCAAATAAAATATAGACTGAGCATATCATTCATAAATAGCTGACAAATGCGGTCAGATCCTAAATCACATATACTTACGTGGATAAATCAACGCTATAAGTTTAGCATTTAGTTCATTAATATTATGGCTCAAATTGCGATATATCCGACAAAATTCATAAAGTTTTCAAAATTGATGGAAATAATCAGGACATCATATGTATTACTAAACTGAAAAGTTCCCACCCCTAAATAGTGTGCGTCATCGCCCAGTACATCGTTTCTACCCCCATTTTGAGTTTTTTTATATAATCTCGGCAACGGTGCAATTCTCGACAAAAATACCTACAGTACGTCTATCCGTTCTGTAGCTACGGGGTATCCGTAAGAGGGGAAACGATATTCTCTCGATGTTTTTCGTAAAAAAAACAGACGACGCGTCCCATCAATAAAAATTCAACAAATTTGCCAGTAGCCAATAAAATGTATATAGAAAATTGTTCTTCATAAAATTCTCTATCAAAAAGATAATTACACTTTGTTTCTAAAGATATTAATAAAGTGGCAAATAGGGCGCAAACAAATACGTTTAAATTTACATATACCGCCGCCTCCCCATAAGAGCAATGAGATAATTTATGTCCCAGAATTGAAGGACAGAAGATCTGGGCGCACATGCGCCGAAATGCTACTTTTCTATTGACCGAATGGTGTCGAGATGGGTTATCGACAGTTATCGATTTATTTTTGGACGCGTCGTCGAAGTGGATTTTGTTTTCAGTTTGGACTTGGGCAGTCGCCATTAGTGTCATTAGTGTTTTCTCTAACTTTCTGTGTTTTCCACGTGTACTGTGTTTTCGTTTGTATTTTAATCTTTGTGCGTTTATTGACAATTTTGTGATTTAGTTTTAAAGACTTTTGCTGTAGTTTAATTAATAGAACAATGGGAATGGGCTACTGCTTTTGTGTGTGGTAGAAGCCAACTAACAAAATTAATAATAGAAATTTTTCTCGATGTTCGTTTGTATCATGAAAGCAAAATCAGAAATAAAAGGGATGTTAATATAAGACAAAAATATACGAAACTAATTTTATTCAAAAATCAATAATTGTTAAAAGCATTATATTTAGTCTTACTATTTTAAAATAAAAAAGACATTATAATGTAAAGACTAAAAATAGAGACTACATAAGGCTAATTATAATGCTTACACAATTACACACAGACTGTCTTATTGTAAATTATTATTGTTTTTTTTTTTTTTCATAATATAAAAGAGTATTACAATGCAACAATGTAAATAATTATATTTTTTGTATCTAGCTTGATTTATGTATAAACTTAATATGTACATACTTTTAGTTATATTTGTTTAATAAAAAATATGTTAATAATAAAGAATTACTTTTGTTTCATTTTAAACCAGGACTGATGTTGATTATTGATCATAAATACATGGGCAGTAAAAGAAACAATAGACAGTAAAAAATGTACTGTTATACTTTGTTTTGCTGCAATTTTTAAGTCGAGTGAAATAGATATGCAATTTGTAATACTAAGTTCTTAAGACAGTTCCTTAATTGAGGTTTTACTAAATTATTTTTTGAATTTTAAAAAAAGTGAAATAGATATGCAATTTGTACTACGAAGTTTTTAAGACAATTTCTTAATAATTGTGGTTTTACTAAATTATTTTTTGAATTTAAAAAAAAAATATCGTACCTGTCACTTTTTTTCATTCGTTTTATTTAATAATAATTGTCTAACACAACAAAGTCTACTTAGAACGATATGATATAAATATAAATGAGTTCATTAAAAAATGGTCTGATTAAAATTAGTACCTAAATAAGCAAAAATTATCCCCTCATAAAACAAGAAATTAAGGAGTTCAGTAAAAGGATTGCAACTATATATTTTATTCAGTAAATTTTCATAATAGTAAGTATAAAAGCACAATCTCTAAAACGACAATATGAATAATGTATATTAAGATTTAACTCGAGTTTCAGTGAAAAAACTATATTGATATTAAAATATTTTAATACCTTCAGAATACTAATTACATACCATAAAATAGGAGTTTTTACGATGCGGGAAGCCATCTAGAAAAAGAATTTTAGAAATCAGCAATGGGATTCTGTAAGCTCTGTAGCAAGAAATTTCCTATCGAGCCTATGCTATTTGTATACGATTGATGAGTCACTAGACAGGGAAATGTTTACAGAATCGCACTGCAGATACCTATTACGCTACTAGGAGCCCCCCATTGTGAGACAGATATAAAATAATTTTTATATACCTATTCCATAGCCTATTTTTTTAAATGTCTGTAATATTTATAATAAACTTATTTTAACGAGTAGAAGTATTGCACCAGCATCAAAATTAACACTACTTGTAAAAAACTGTTGCTCCTTGAGTTTGTAATAGATATAAACAAAATAAACATTCGAAAATAACTAAATCGAAGATATCTGAAAACTTTTGGTTGAAAAAGTGTTTTGCCATAACATGTTGGATACGATTAAAATATCTCAATTGATAAATATGCGCATAATGTTACATTATCAAACTTATTTGATTTCAGAATATTTAACAAAAAGCTTCCAATTTTTCGAAAGATTTAATTCAATTATTAGAACGTCTTTAACCTCAACTTAAAATAAATAAAAATAAAACCAAAACAAAACATATCATATGATTTGGAAAGATTTGGAACTGTCCAATCAAAGTGCTTACAGATCGAGCAAGCGCAGAAAACCTCCTCCCGAACAAGAATAGACTTATGTAGGAAATGCATTGACATTCTATAGCCATCCTTCAACATCGGGACAGGAATTTAAGCGGTACCCTCCGTATATTTTATTTGAACGTATTTGGGCGCAAATATAAGGGTTATGACTAGCACTATCTGCAGTTCAATCTAATTTAAAGTTTAATGTTTATCGCTAACAAAAAGCAGTAACCACTAAATTATACTTAGAATTTTAATATATGTTCTTCTCTCACACTCCTCTACCCCTACAAAAAGGGCGATTTGTACTTATTTCCACATCACCCTAGAGGTAAAGTATTTGATGCGTTTTTTTAGTGGTATCCCCTGTAGGCCTAATCCACTAATTATCAAATGTTAAAGATGGGATTTTATTTAAAACTTTAAAAGTGTGTCGTGCAAATCGTGTAAAGCCGATATCTAGTTTGAGCAATACAATAAAAATTAATGGCAATGATGTTCAAGTTGACTCAACATTACTATTTCAAAGAATTATTTGCATCGATCATTCTAGCCTGGACAAAGTTTACAGAATAAAATATAAGTTCGGTCACTTAGCATCGGCACTTTGAAAATCGCGTATCAAAAGCCAGAAGCCGCCTCGTCCGATACGCCGGACTTCGATGACCACAGGAGTGGAAGCCGGGGTAAATAGAAGCCGCATTTTTACCGATCGCAATGTGCGACAAGGTGCAGGGGAACGTGGGGTATTTCAAAAATACCTAATGGTAAATCTACAAAAGAAAAAATATACTATCAGTTTATTGGTGTATTACATATAAATATTTAGACATGGCAAGATAAAAAAAGATATAGCAAAAATAAAATAAATTTTAAAAACAAACACAAAAAATAAAGCTACACAATATGAACAGTAAATAATGTAAAAGTATATTACGTTACGAGTGTTTTGGAAAAAATAATATTACGCACGAGTGCAGTATTCCATGAGTGCGTAATATGGTTTTCCAACACGAATTACGTACACTATAAAATTCAAAGCTGAAACTATTAAATGTCAACAACTTTTGATGTTTAAATGGTATCCTCGGTATTTTTTTTACGTTATTCGATAAAAAATGATACTCTGAGTAGAAAGACATACATATGTCAGCTTTTAACAGTTTCACATATGATTTATTTGAAAGTGTAACACGCGGTTTATAACGACAATTTGACTCGAAATGTGTGTGGCATGAAATTATTCGTAAAAAAATACTTTTTCTAAATATACTAATGAGCCACCCTCTTTCCATTTGAAAAAAATTAAGATATGGTTAAAAATACCATTTGGGCATCTTTTAACCGGCCAAGACAAGACATTGAAAACATTAGACGATCAAATCTATTTTTCCCAGGACTCCTTGATTAAAGTTTTGTTTTTAAAAGAGCTATGACACTCAATATTAAAATTTTAAAAGATTTTTTTTAAGCTAGAATGCCAAAAGTTGACATATGATATGGCATTCTATTCAGATTGTCATTTTTTATCGAATAAAGTAGAAAAATGCCGCGGTTGCCGTTTAAAAATCAAAAGTTGTAGTCATTTTCGGTGAAACCGGAAGTGACCGAAAAAAATTGAAAACGTTAATCAATCCTAATTTAGGTCATATACTAACACACCAAATCTCGTTTTTTTATCTGAAAAAATAAAAAAGTTATAGGGATAAGCCACTTTTGAGACACACCCAGTATATGATTTTTCGTGTAAAAAAATAAAGTGTTCTTGAATAATTCTAATTAGATATTTTAAATAATTTTTTTCCAGTGGCAAAAAACTCAATATTATTTTTAAGAAATAATAAAAATAATTATGCTTTTTTTATAATGAACTAATAAATAATTAACTAAGGCTAATGTGATCAGTAACATTTTGCAATGAAAATTAAATAATCACTTGAAAACTAATTCCATATGCATGCGAGACCACTCTGTAATAACGCCAAAATCAGAGTAACACGCCGAACGTGATCCGCCATGTATGCTGGGTCCAAAGTCCACACACCAGTAATACACTGGGAAACACGTGTGTGAAGCGGCTTTTGATACCTGCCGCCGGCACAAGTGACGGAACTTATATTTTATTCTGTAAACTTTGGCCTGGAGTTAAAAAAGTGCTTTAGTTTCGAATTAGCTTCAGTACCTCTTTCTCTTTTCGATGCGAAAGGCCTAATCAGGAAAAGTAATAAAGCAGCTTTATACCAGATTGTCAATAAAGTTCCATAACGAGACCATATTTTTGAAAACAGCGAGTGTGTCATTGATGGAGGATATTTGCTTCGCCGCGTAATATGGCCAAAAAAAAAAGGACATTTAACATTGTTTAGAACGCTTAAGTTAGTTACATTAAAAACATTATGGAAATAGAGTCGTGTTGATGGTTATATGGAAAATGCAAACACCACGAAGAGCCCAGAACGACAGAGGCGGCTACTCAAACTTACTACCTCAAATTATGTTTAACCAGAATACTGTTGTCTCTGAAACTCAACAGAACTTCCTAAGTAATTTGTTTAACAAATAACGTTTAATCACAGAACTAGTAAACAAATTTAGGTAAGAAGGTATAGAAGTATTTGCTGCTGCGGATGACGCCGATTTATTAATAATTCAAACTGCTATAGAAAAATCTAATAATTGCGATACAACTGTTATAGTAAGGCAAGATATTGACCTGCTAGTTCTTCTTATTGCACTTTCTCCCTCTGACAAAGTTATAAAATTTTTAAAAGAAAAACAGGGTAATACTTGCAAAAGGATTTACAGTTCTCAAGATTTACAATCCGCAACTTTTTTAAAAAATTACAAATACACTATATTATTTGTACACACCATTAGTATTTTTATATAATTTAATTTTTGTGACAGTAAACATTCTATTTATTGTTCAAATATATGCATTTTACAAATTAAATTTTTAAAATTACTGTTCAAATTTGGCGCGCGGACGATAGGTCCTGGACAAGGATAGATAGAGTAGAAGCACCGCGTGTTCAACAAAAAAATGAGATAAATGGAAGTCGTTGATATGTTTGCGACAGTTTCCATAGTGATTTACTTATCCACGTAAAGTATAGATGACCTAGGGTAATAACTATCTTCTAAACAATATGAACTGATCTCAGACACACCCTAAAACGCATATTTGACTAATAGTATGACGTAACGTTGAACGTTGTCCAAAGAGACGATAAATATTTTTTAAAGGTTTTATTTGTTAATGAAACTTGTTTTTCAGTTGGCAAAGCCGTTCGTTGAAGATCTATATAGTTTATTCAACTATTACGTTTTGCCTGCCATCGAATTTGTCAGGACTAGACTAAAGGAAGTGTTGACGTCGGTAGATTCAGCTTTATTGATGTCCTTCCTGAGATTAATGGACTATCGACTATTGCCAATATCTGGAAAGGACAACAGACCTCCGCCCCCGCCACAGTTTGTGGCTTTGATGCGTAAGCAAATATTCATCCGAAAAATGTCTATACCTATGTGGAGGATTCATCTCTCCAAAAAATCCTATATGGGTATTATATATAATCTGTCCAACGAGAAGATCCTTGACAGTGATAGATGTGTCTGTCATTTTAATTTCGAAGTAGTTTATTTTATTTTACAAAGAAATAAGTTGGTACAACTGGAATGCATAGCAGGAAATATTTAAAATTTGATTGACAAGATGACAAGTGATTACTTCAAAATATTGTGAAAAAAACTGTATAAAACTGAAAAAATGTAATCGAGTTATTTTATTTAATAAAAACGGTATGTGTTAATACAAAACAAACAAGAACAAGACACTACGTACCAAAAAAATATAAAAAAGAACTATTATTTACTTTCAAGCTTTATGAAACTACCCGCATTTATGATTATATTTATCAATATAACTTATGTACAAATACAAATTTGTAATATTCCACAGGAATAAATAAAACAACATTATTTTATTAATAATAACACCTACCAAATGTTATACCTTAAAGGTTGATTAATTAACTTTAATCTTAATTGTTTTAAACCAGTACCTTTTGACATTATTTTTCTGCAGTACTAAAATGCATTATTTACCTATCGTGTGATGTCGATATTTTACAGCTACTCCAGTTTTTAGTATGTGTTTTGTTTGATCCTTATATACGAGACGCACTGATCTACGACGAAATGGTATACAAACTTTATCGATGGCAACTTCATCGGTGTATAAGACTTTCTGCCTGGGCAGCGAGTATTAACCATAAACTGTGCTCTGGGTCTACAGTTAATTTTCACTCGATTTTTTCTCCACTTGACTTCAAAAGACACAAAACACACGTAATAATACGAATCAAAATGCATCATCTTCCAAAACGCAGGGTATTTAACAAAAGTTGACACAAAATTATAACCTATAATTTGGCAAGACTTTGACAAGCGTCAAAAATGACAAAAATCTAAAGGCGAGTTCGTACGCATCGGCGTCCGTTTGTCGTTCATCGTTCCGTCAAACCAATAAAATTGAAATACGATCTGTAATTTTTAAATAAACCAATAAAACTGGTTAAAAACAACAAGACACGACGCATGACGGATTTATATTTAAACCCATCCATAGATAACTTAAAAATTATTAGAAACTTTTTTTAGTAAAATAAATAGATTGGTATGGGACGTCATCTGCTTTTCTTCTGTCATCGTCTGTCGAAATCTTACCTGTGAAAAAAAACAGAGTATACGTAGTTTCCGTTTGGATTAACACAGAAGTGTTTACAAAAAATTGCTATTTTATTTTGTAGATTTTCTTGCAGTGGCGAAATACCCATATAGGATTTTTTGGAGAAATATTCATCCACTTCGGACGAACAGTTCTCAAACTAGTTGCTCTTCAAACCAGTAAAAAATTATGTAGGTGGCGCCCCCCCTCTCCAAACCAAACCAAACCAGACACCAATTTTCATCCAAATATTTGTAATGGTTATAATATTAGTTCAGAAATTATCTGGAAAAAAATTGGAATAAAAATAAAACTTTTTTCGGTATCTTCGAAAAGAAGCATTTTAGGACATACATTTATAGATCATACCAAACAAACTTTTAGTCATGCGATTAAGCTTGACCGGCACAGCGTTGCCCACTTTTACATATTTTCATTTAATCAAAATATTTTAGGAAACAAAAATAAATTAATTATAAATATATAAACAGTTACTATTTACATAAACAAAACTCACTTCCTTAGCAGCATTTAAGGTACATAAAGGGCCTAGCCGCTTTTCCACTCAAAATATTCTAATAAGGTTGCGATGGTTTTTTTTGCAACGGCTATTAAGCTGTCTTGTACACAAAAAGAACAATGTTCGTTTGCAAGGTGTGCTAGTAAACATTTTAACAACTAAATTCATTTAAACTAAAAACTAATAATACAAATCTAAAATGTCAAAACGAATGACAATATCAGAAAATAAATAAATATAAATGTGGCAACTTGACATTTTTTAAAGCACAGCTATCACCTGAATTTCCAGCGGGATATTTAAATTCAGCCGCGGTAAAATTATTTAGTTAGTCAGCCTCGGCGCCGAATATGTCCATGGTTGAATTTAAAAATCGCGCCTTCGATTACGTAACTAAAAGTTTAATTGGTATCGCTTATATATGAACTTTTTTTTATTTTTAACGGTAGAATATGCTGCAGAAGTTTCCTGAATATAATTCGGACCACCCTGTATATAAAATTAAGTATCTCAATAAACTCCTGCTGGCATAATTATTTCCAATATTCCCGTTAAAATTCTTTTTTCAAATATGATAATAAGCAAAATGGAGTGGTCCTTTGTTTAAAATTTCCAACACGTCTTTCCATTAAATATTGTCTAGACTTGGGGACAAAATATCACTACTTTAAATTCTCATCTCAGAACGAATAATCTATATTACTGTTATTATAAGTCTATTTCTAGGGTATTATGCCTTAAGGCCATCTAAGGATAGACTTATAATTCCACAGGGATGTGATTTATTCATATTGAACTAATAGTGTGAGCTAAATTTTATTTGCATAGGAAAATCTACCAAAATAAATTTGTTTGATTTTTGCTGTATTAATAAAAACGTTACAGATTAAAATGTTTATATGTATATATAAAATTATTAATAAATAATATTTTCTTGCCTTTAGCTGTGTTTTTTTTTCTAATTTCGAAAAATCGAAAGCAGAGAAAAATAAAAAGAAAATTGTTTTGCTTGTCGTAAAGAGGGGAACTAAGCTCCACTCCCACAACCGGTTTCTGGGCCTACTCTTCATCAAGTGGGCTGTCCAGGGGCTGGTTCTCACCGATACGGCAAGCAAAACCTTTTCAATATCAACAAACGATGTAGTAAAGTGTCGATGAGATATTAGCGCATCTCCTTCTCCAAAAAATACACAGCTAAAGGCAAAAAAAATATCAGCGACCCTGTATTAATTCTAATAGATCTTTATTCTATTTCTAGAAAATCTTCTGGTACCCTGGGTGGTATTTAACACTATATGGAGCATAGGGTCAACGTGCGACAACCAAAGCAGGCCCATGTTTGACAGCTTCATAAAAGAAAAGATGACATCTGCGGAACACGAACCTCCGTTTTCAACTGGCGAACTTTGTTACGATTTCAAGTAAACATTTATTTATAATGTTAAAATAATTGCTTGACAAGGCTGATTTGATTTCCCCTTACGTCTCAAGCGCTGTACGGTGGAGACACCAATCGTTCTGCAGCCAACGCATAAAACACTTATTTTCTCTAATTCGGCCAGCGAAGACATATCGAAGACGGTGTGGACCCGAAAGCGACAGTGTTGCCATATTAAAATGTGTAATATCTTTAATACGTTTGAGGATTTGATGAAAAACCAGCGTTTATGTATTGAAAATTTATTCGTGCTTAAACATGTAACAAACAACAAAAATACTTTTGTCCACGACCACTTAATAATAAATCAATATTCTACTTGCTAGCTGAAGAAATATGGTGTCCATATTTGTAATTGAGTGAAATATAACAGCTGATAACAGTGAATTATGATAAATCACACTTGGCATTTACTTTACATTTGTTGCTATGCCAACGTGACACTCACAACGTTCCGATGCGCGGCGTGGATGATTTGACGTTTTTCTTTTCTTTTCTTTTTATTAATTTTGACGTTTAAAATTGTCAAATGTTAAGTAGGTAGTGATTATTAAGTGGCATATCAAGAACTCGTTTAAAATCAAAAAATGAATTATGAGAGTGATAATGAGTCCTGTACAGGGTGGGTCAAATTCGACGCTTTTAAATGGAAACACCCTTTTTTTGGGTTAAAAAAAAAAGGTTTTATGGAAATTTTCGCTAAAGTCAACCGTTTAGGCATAAAATCCCTGGAAATTTTAAAATTTTGCGTAAAATATGATATATTATGTATAGTCGATTTTCCGAAATCAAATGTCGATTAGGATTCACTAAAATTAGTTTTAGTTTAGTTTCTTCAATTTTGTCACGAAACAGTGGCGTATCATTAATTCACTCATTAATTTATGAATAATTATTTGTCGTGCTAGACAGCATTCATTGCGAACTTACCACCAGGTTCAGCATTGGTCTGGTTGTACCAAAGATGCCGAAGAACGGGGTTGGAAGAAAACAAAAACAGGCATTACTCCAGTCACAACGTTGAAAGATCCAGCTCCAAAATCCCTGTTGGCATTTTTATCCTGTAAATGCAAAACCAATAACTATGGTAAAGCCTGCGGATGCAGAAAAGCAGGATTAAACTGTTCAATGATTTCTGCATACTGCAATGGGAAATCGTGTGACAACGTCACTGAAGTGTCACTCGATGAATCCGATGAAGAGGAGTTGGACTTGCCAGTAGATATCCCTCTGGTGGCTGAAGATTAAGAGTTGGACGTATTGAGAGACCAGCCTGGTTAGCCCAGCACAGCAGACACGATCGACTTTGATATCAATGATCCAGATCCGTCGGGCTTGTGCGGATAAGTTAAAGTTTTTAATTTATCTAGTGGAGTAGGCCTCCGGGGAGACCACGTTAAAATAAACGCGCCATATACTTTACCTCTTGGGTGGTGTGGAAACAAGTACACATTTTCAATAAGTAATTAAAATTAATTATTCATAAATTAATGAGCGAATTAATGATACACCTCTGTTTTATGACAAAATTGAAGAAACTAAACTAAAACTAGTTTTAATGAACCCTAATCGACATTTGATTTCGGAAAATCGACTATACATAATATATCATATTTTACGTAAAATTGTAAAATTTCCAGGGATTTTGTGCCTAAACGGTTGACTTTAGCGAAAATTTTCATAAAACCTTTTTAATAGGAAATTTTATTTTCTTTAATTTTTCTCTCCTCTAATTTTCGCGAAAAACGCATAGTTTTCGAGATATTCACAAAATACCGATTTTGGGCGCCATCTTGGCAAGATGGCGGCGCCGGCGGCAAGTCTGGGCCCGAATTCTGTAACTTAGAAAACGCTAAGCGCTTTTAGACGCTCAGCGTATATGACGTTAATTTTTGCTGAGCGCGCACTTAACTAACGATTTGGGTATTCTCGTCTGACGCGCTTAGCGTCTCTACTGATTGCGCTAAGCGCTTTGAAAACGGTTGCCTTAAAGAATCGTTTTGCTTGTCGAACTGTCAGTATGCTGTCAGTGAAAATCGAAAAAATTGTGATTTCATGCATTATCTTGCTCTTTAGTGAAAACTACTACTTGGTCTATAAATTCCTAAATAAGTAATCGACAAATTACAAGTTGGTAGCTATAAATATTGTTCAAAACATCGAAAATGCTGAACATCTTCAACATTTCCCTCGTATAATAAGAATAATGACATATCCATAGAAAAATAGGTTGATATAACTCAACAATAGGTTATAAAATTCACGTAACATTGACATTTTTCATTGTTTTAATCACATTTGACTATTAGATACCCATTAGATACCTAGAAAATTACGATGCTGTCAATATGTGCTCAACGCGTATCCAGAAAACGATTCGCACAGCAAGGAGAATACCAAAATCGACTGCTTGACGTTCCGCTTATCGCATACTTTCGCTCACCGCTTTGAAAGCGTAACGTTTTTATGTCAAAGTTACAGAATTCAGGCCCTGGAAATGTGCATTTTATGGATTTTAGTTAGGGACCCCAAAACCTATAAACCTGCAAAGTTGCAAAACTTCCGGACTTTTTTCCAAGCAAAAATCCCCAGTGACTGAACTAATAGTATTCTTTATCCATCCGCTGCGCTGTAAAAGACTATCAGCGCGCAGCGGATATATCGGTAACGCCAACTATATCTCGCACGTGTATTGTGTCACGAAATCGCCTATAAGGTTGCGCATCTTTTTATTACTTCAATCAACGCTATGAGTCATTTAATTTTCTCTTAGCTTGCATGACGGCGGCTTCACTGATCAGACACCCGATGGAGAACCTGCACCGCCCACGTGGTACAGTTGGATGGACAACGTTGCCGAATACAAAATAAATATTGACATGAAATACTCTGGTAATTAAATTATTTCGGTAGTTTGTACGTATAAATTTAGAGGAAAGTAATTAAATATGGAATAGTAGATATCCCTAATATGGAATACCGCCATTTCTCGGAAACAAATACCTACGTCTAATCCCAAAAGACAGTGATTTTTAATTTCTTTCTCGCATTATACTCAGGTGACTCGTTATTCCGCTGCATACGTTTTGATTAGTTTCAAGTGTTTGTTTTATAGTAGTCCATATTTCGGTACTTGTTCTATATTTAGGCTCCTTTATATTCAGCTTGTTTCTAAGAAAATTTTGTACTTACTTACTTGTCTGAAAAGTGGCTCACCCCTATAACTTTTTGATTTTTTCAGATAAATAAATCAGATAAAAAAACGAGATTTGGTATGTTAGTATATGGCATAAATTAGGATTGACTGACATATTAAATTGTTTTTCGTCACTTCCTGTTTCACCGGAAATGACTACAATTTTTCATTTTTAAATGGCACCCTCGGTATATTTTTATTTATTCGATAGGAAATGACACTCTGAATAAAATGACATATCATATGTCAACTTTTGGCATTCTCGCTTAAAAATAAATTGTATTTTAAATTTCAATCTAGAGTGCTATTGCTGTGTTAAAAACACTAATTTTTAATCAAGAAGCCTTGGAAAAATCGATTTGATCGTCTAATGATTTTAGTGACGTGTCCTGGTCGGTTATAAAATGCCCAAATCGTATCTTTAATCATATGTCAATTTTTTCAGATGGAACGAGGGTAGCTCATTAGCATATTTGGAAAACGCATTTTTTTACGAATAATTTGGTACCACACACTGGTACTTCAAGTCAAATTGTCGTTATGAACCGCATACGTCAAAAGTTGACATATGATATGTCATTCTATTGAGAGTGTCATTTTCTATCCAATAAAGTAACAAAATACCGAGGGTGCTATTTAAAAATCAACAGTTGGAGTCATTTCCGGTAAAACAGGAAGTGACCGAAAACAATTGAATACGTCAGTCAATCCTAATTTATGTCATATACTAATATACCAAATCTGGTTGTTTTATCTGAAAAAATTAAAAAGTTATAGGGGTGAGCCACTTTTGAGACGCACCCGGTATATGTAACTCTATGACTAATAATAACTAAGAATAAAAACGTTGGATTTGTAATACATTTTTTATATAACACAAAAACCTTTGACAAAAACAAAATGGTTTCCATATACGTATTTTCTCACTCATTCAATGAAACTGAAACTGTTTTTAAGATATCGAAATTCCCACTATCGATAACGTAAGGAACGCCTGGATGGTGGGAGCGATTTTGTTGAACGAAGACAATGCCTCAGGTAGTCTCAAAACCGGCACGGGTAAAACTTTGACAGTTATTGGAAAACTCAGCAAGAACATGCACAAGAAATTTATATGTGATTTTATCAATTTCTCGGCTAGAACAACAGCAAACCAAACACAAGTACAATAACCTATATTAACTTTATTTTTCATGGATTAATTTTACAAAACAGATATTAAAATGTCTATACCTTATATAAAGTAACTTTGTGGCAGCATCATTTCTTGAAAACTCTCTTAAGAGTCCACTTCACTACTCCGAAAAGCAGGGAAAATAAGCGTTCGGAGCATTTAACGTTTCCTATGTAAAACTGGCTTTGTATTTTCACATAAAATGAAGAAGGAAATTAAAGATAAATATATCCGTATTGTAAAGCACAAGCTTTAGGATAACTTCTTTAGTTTTAAGATTTTGATGGTCAAACATCAACAAATATTCTATGTTTATGACATAAATTCTCGAAAATTAAGCCATAACTTAAAATTCCGCTACAATATGGAAATAGATTGAAATATATTTCCTTCGGCCACACATCCGCTTAACCCGACCGCTGAGAGCGACCCCCTGAAAGTACAGGGTGGGGCCTAAATCTTCGATTTCTTTAAATGGAAACAGCCTTTCTATAGGAGATAGACAAACACTAATATCGGTGTCTGGAGCCCACCTTTGTCAAAAACATGGTGAAAACCGCATACCCATATCTGTTACCGCTCGGAGTTACGGGGCGTTTCAAAAAATATGCATGTAACTCTTTTTACTCATGGAAAACCCTTGTATTTTATGGTGCAAAACATTTCCAAAGCACCTTTACGTAGAATTTAGAATGGTTTTACATAATTTTCTTTTAAAATTACTAATTTTAGGAATTATCAACAGAGAATTTGATTTTATATGGGACACCCTGTATATTTTTAATTTATTGAAAATAATTTTTTTTTTTTAATTAACTGAAAAAATTTTTGCACACTTGATATTTTCTCGATTCCTCTTCGAGATATAGAGTATATAAAGTTTCGTCTGCTTCTAAATAAGTAGGTTTTTTGAACGGCGCCGGCTGTAATTCAAAAAATTCTAGCTGTGAGTAACAATTAAAACGAAAATATTTGCTATGAGAGATGCAGAATTTTGCTAACAATTTAAAATATATTTAACCAACATCAAATACATTACTTCAAACTATATCTGATAACAATAAAAAAATAAATAGCAAACCAAGACATGAGATTTTGCTACAGGTGTTTGATATATCGACCGTCTTCAGTTATGGACAGATGGGGCTGTTTTTGAACATTTCTTGTGGAATTCATTAACTCAGTAGGAGTGAAAAATACCCTCTCAAAACTGCCAAGTATTTCTAATCCTTGCCTAGATTATAATGGAAGAATAAGGAACCTTTATCCTTCCGCAAATATATCCATAGGGTTAGATCTATGAGCACTAAGTCAGGCGGCCTCGACGGCCAACGCATTGGGATCTATGTTAGCTACTCAATTATTCTTGCATTCCAAAATTTGCTGATACCATCTCGCAGTTCTGTGGTGCGTCGTCTTGCTGGAAAAATATGTTTCGAGTTCTCTTTAAGGCATATCATCAATAAGGGGTCCAAAGCCTATACTAGTTAAAAGTGGCAAACTTTGAAAATTTTGCATTTCGAAGGGAATTATAAATAAAATATCAAGTGTGCTAAATTTTTTGAAAGGTAATTTTAAATTCTTTCGGTTAATTAAAATATAGAGGGTGTCCTGAACAAAAATAAATTCTTCTGTTGATAACTCTTTAAAATTATTAATTTAAAAAAAAAAATATACTTAAACCCATTAAATTCAATGTAAAAAGCGGTGGATTTGGAAATGTTTCATAGAAATACAAAATTTCATAGCAAAAGTTACAGGGATTTGTTAAAATGCACATTTTGAAAAAAAAAAAAATAACACCTCCCGTAACCTGAAACGGTAGTAACAGATAATTTCCTCGATGTGCGGTTTTTACCATCATGTTTTGATGAAAATTGAGCTCCAGACACCGATATTAGTTTTCGTCTATCTCCTATGATAGAAAAGGGTGTTTCCATTTAAAAGCGCTCGAATTTGACCCACCCCTGTACAGGGTGTAATGACTCCCACCACAAGTCAAATCAAAAAGGCAATTTGCTGCATAGAAAACGTGGAATCCGCATAAAAATTGTCTCAACTTCAGGGCCGTCCAACGTACAGCCCTCAAGCAAAAGTATCAGCAATACGTAACTGAACGAAGTACAAATTGATAA